AGGATTTTAATAGAATGGGATAAAGACCTCCCAGGTGGAGAAAGTAAAGCTTTCAGAAGGCTAACATTTGGAGAGGAATTTATTAAAAATATCAATAAAAATATCCATCCATCTCCTATTCAATCCTGGGATGGCAAATGACAGAAAGAGAAGCAAATCCTTTCCCCCAAAAGGAATAAAGTGGACAAAATTCCTAGAAACTGAGCAAAGGCATATGACAGATGAAGAGGAATTTATTCAAGAAAAATCACTGACCTTTAGTGTAAGAACTGCTGCTGTTAGCCTAGGGCTACTCCTGTCCCCTGCCAGCTCCCCAAGCAGGACCGGCAGGCGGGGGCGGGGTGGCTTCATCCGGAGCGGAGAGCAGGAAAATGCCGTTCCCCTGGGCTTGTTAGAAACAGAGGCCATCTCGGTGGCAAATGAACGGGAAAGGTCCACGCAGGTAGCCTAACGTTTCAGTTCTGGCTGAGACGAGCAACAGATTGGCAGACCAGCTGGAAATTTAACAGGGAGACGGATGCGTGGAAGGAGCAGACTTAGCGCACCTTGCCACAGGGCCCTGCTGGTTGGAAGGCTGGACGCAAGGGCAGGACACAGGCCACATTAGGGAGGGAACTGGCTGAATGTGAGGCCCTCAGCACAGGGAGAAAGCTCCCCCGAGTGCCCGGGGTAAGTATCTGCCTGAACCTTGAACATGTCCCCCACTTACACCTAGATCCACTGGCAAAGGGTGGAAGCCCTTACGGGCGAAAGGTATTTGACTACGACCTCTGACAAATCACTAGCTGACCACTGAGCTGTGCCAACACAAGGGTGAGTACTCAAAAGCCAGATTTAAAAATATAAATAGTATTTTAAAAACGCAACACTGAGCAGAGAGACAGCAGTGGCCATACACCATAGGAAGACAATCTCCACAGAATTACCCAGGGATAGCACTAAACCAACCAACCAAAAAAGCCAGTGGCGATGACCACCACCTCCCTGGGCAGAACAAATCAGATCAGAATACAGAGTTGCTACAATAATGTATTACCCAAAATGTCCAGTTTTCAAAAACAAGTTACAAGAGATGCAAAGAAATAAGAAAGTGACTTATTTTCAGGGGGAAAAGAAGGCAGTCAATAAATACTGTCTGTCCCTGACCTTCACCCATTCGATGCCAGCAGCATCTACCCCCTCCCCCAGGTGTGACAGACAAAAATGTCTTCAGACCTGCCACATGCCTCCCGGGATGTAGGGCAAAATCCCCCCGTAGCTGAAAGCCACCGCTCTAAAGCTACAGACATCCACAACATCAACATTATGTGGTCTTCACGTAAGGAAAGACAAAGATTGTTGAGACAAAATTAAGAATCACCAAGGTCCCAAAACAATTTAACAGGAAAATGATAGACTTTTCAATAAACAGCACTGGCATAGATACCCCCATGCAAAAATAACTTTAGACTCTTACCATACATGATAAATAAACTCAAAGTGCATCACAGACCTAAAAAAAGAGCCAAAATTATAAAGCTTTTCCAAGAAAACATAGACCTAAAGTCTTTGTGACCTTGGTTTAGGCAGAAAGGGACCATCCACTAAAAAAGAAAGATAAATAGCACATTGTCAAAATTAAAGTATTTTTCATTTCAAAATACACCATTAAGAATGAAAAGACAAACCACAATCTTAGAGCAAATACAGAATACCTATATAAAAAACCCTTAACAACTCAATAAGGTAAACAATTTTTTAAATGGGCAAAATATTTAAATAGACGTTCACCAAAGACTACAGCTACAGCGCAGCTCCGGGAACTCGACATCCTTAGTCACCATGGACAAGCAGACTGAAACCTCACTGAGCTACAACTCCCCGCCATGGAATGGCCGCAACAAGGGCGGACGGTGCTTGTGGACGGGGAGGACCAGGCACAGGCTCGCCCACCTTTGCATGCTGCTGATGGGAACGCGAAAACAGTCACCTTTGAAGACAGTGTAGCGGGCAGTTAGACAGACATGAGCGGAGTAAGGAAGGCAGGCCAGGCACAGAAGGTCACCAGGGACGAAAGCCCCGGGTGCCTAGCAACAAATAAAACTGGGAAAACAAGGACCTCGCCCCCAGAGTAACCTTTCCTTCCCTAGCATATGGCCGGTCACATGGCCTGGAACCCCTGGCCTTTCCTTCCTAGAGACAATGTCTAGGTCTCAGCTGTGTTTCAGCTCCAGGCCCAGAAAAGCAGCAAAACCTGGCAGGTGACGGTAGGGCCAGCCGCAGGGGCTAATGACCCTCTGCCCGGGCTCCCACCAGCCTGTGGAGGCCACCACCCTGAAAGGACACACCTGGAAAACTGAACAGTCTGTTGAGATCCTTCTCTGGATGCTCCCCTAAAATCTCCACCCTTAGAAGCACTTAGGCCCAAGGACCCAGCACCCTCTCCCTCCCCAGAGCACACTCGCAACTTTCCCCTCGCCTCTCCTACCCCAGCTTACCTTCCCCTCTCCTAAGCTCCAAGCGCCTAGCTTTTGCCTCTGAAACTTGCTTCCTGAGCCTATTCCTTACACAGCTCACTTCTCCTACCTCTGTGACTTTCTAAATGAACAGGTCTCTTATAGTTTGAGTCTTGGCTCTGAATTCTTTCTTAGCCAGAACTCAAGCTACCAAGGTTGCTGAACCAAGGTCCGGTCTGACCCAGCTGTCTAACACCTGGTGCTGTTCTCGCTGCCACCAACAGGGTAGCAAGTTCTTAAAAAGTTGTACACGTAACTTCTACTCTATTACCTAGCAATTCCACTCCTAAGTACATACCCACAAGAAATGAAAACATACGTCCACACAAAAACTTGCATGCAAACGTTAACAGCATTATTGAGAACAGCCCCAAAGTGGAAAGGATCCAAATATCTATCATTGGTAAATGGATAAACAAAATATGGTATATCCAGACAATGAAATGTTTTTAGCAATAAAAAGGAACAAGCTCTTGATACTTGCTACAGCATAAAGGTTCAAAACAAAGCCAGATGCAAAAGACTACATTGTATGATGCCATTTATATGAAACGTCCAAAAAAGGCAGCGCTGCAAAGATCCAAAGCGGATGAGTGGTTGCCAGGGCTGGGGTAGGGATAGATGTGCGCTGCAGGTGGGCGTGTCTGTGCGAGGGGCGCGCCCCCCACAAGCTCACTGGACAGCACTGAGATTTTCACTTAAAATGGGATCGTCTTAGTTTGTGAACCGTACCTTGATATTGCTGTTAATGTTTTTCAAAGTTAAACAAGCAAGTATTCTCTTATATCCTTACCAAAGATAGCTGCTAATTTTCAGTGTATAAATTTTTGTTGCGTGTGTTTTAACAAAGAGTGACTTCTAGTTTTTAAACTGCTAGGTTCATATAGAATATGAATACATTTACATGTCATTAAACTTTTTTAACAACAAAACTACATGAGTTTTATTTCATAGAATCATGAATGATAAAATTGGAAAACCATCTTTAAGATCATCTAAGCTCTATTTACCTTCTTTTGGTTTCAATATCCTTACGTGTAAAACGAGGTAGAACTAAACGGTTTTCTTCGCTCTTGACTTCTCTGCATCTACCCTTTCAAATTTCCATTCCTTTAGGAATTACTCCAATCCACTGCCAACAAAAATAATTTAAAATAGTAACTAAACTTGTGAGCTTATTTCAGGCCAGGGTATATAGAGTTTTCTCATTTAAGTCTTCCCCAAATCCATTTTATAGGCAAAAAATTAAAATTTTCTTGAGTTAAAAAAATTGAGATTTTTCTTGGGAGAATAAGAGAATGTGGAATTATTGCTTAATGGTTATAGAGATTGTTTGGAATGATGAAAATGTTTTGGAAATAGCGGTAATTGTTGCACAACATTCTTAATGTAATTATTAATGCCACTGGATTATACACTGAAAATGGTTAAAGTAGCAAGTTTTGTGTATTTACAAAAAAATTTTTAAAGACTTTTGTGCTAGGTTAATCAACAAGGTGCATGCAGCCTCTCACCATCTGAACCCGTATTTTAAGAAAAGTTTTGAGATGTAATTGGCAACATATGGTATAAATTTAAGGTATCTATGATTTGATATATACACATATCGTGCAAACATTACCACAAAATGATTAACTCAGCCATCACCTCAGATAGTTACTTTTCTGTGTGTGTGGTAAGAACATTTGAGACCTACTGTCTCTCAGCAACTTTCAATACAATGGGATCCTTAGCGACAGTCCCCGTGCTATGTTTCCCGTTACAACTGACCGACTTCTCCCTGTTTGCCCCACCCCCCAGCCCATGGCCATCGCTGGCCTGCTCTCTGTTTCCATGAGGAACCCATGCTCCCAAAATGAATGCCATCTGCATGTTGGGGACAGTCTTTTCTAACTCAATGAACAAAAGGTGAAAATTTCACTACCTAGCAGAGAGAGGCCCAGATTTTGTCAAACTAGAGTCACTCAGAGACCCATATTCTTTTTTCTGGTCCTGTTTTAGTTGCTTCTGAAAAGATAAATCCACAATAATTCTGCTATGTTCACAATGTAAATTTCCTAGTTACAAATTTTGATTTAAGTTGAAATCCACTGTACCAGGGAGAATTAGGCCTCAAGGATGAACGGGCTGTTACTTCAGGTTTTATCACTGCCTTGCTTGAGGCTCCCTGAATACAGGGTTTTCAGTATCCTCTGCATTTGCAGTATCAATGGATTAAACCACTACCTGTGGGCTGGCAGATTCCATTCCTCAGGCCTCTTGGGCCTATTTTTGCTCGAGAATCACTTCAGCACAATCAGGTCAGATCTGAATGAGATGCAGTGACTCCGGTATTTTTAAGCCTGATAATTAATCTCAGAGGTAGGTCTTAAAGGTAACAGGGACAGTAGCAGTTTTCTTTAAATCAGGTGAAGTAAAAATTACCCTTAAGCCCACTCTTCATCTTCCTGTAACATAGAGGAATGTGAGTTAGCTGAACCAAAGGACATACTTTGATTGTGGGAGACTGAAGACTGTCAGTTATAGTAAAAGACAAATTTGTTCTGTAAATAGGAAGAACATTGAACTGTGTTGTCATCCGTGTGTGAATGAAGGATAAATCAAGATTTTTCACTTAAAGAACATCTTTATTTGACCTTTAATATACAATATTACCTTTACTTTATAAAAATTACATATGGAGGACATGACTGGAAATCAGCTCAGGAGCGGCCCGTGGGAACCGATTTAAGAGGTTACACCTACCCCACTTCTAGTTTAAGAAAAATGGTATCGGTGAATTTAAGACCAGTTTGTTCGAGCAATTGCATTTCAACGTCCAAATCCAGTAATTAAAACTGGGGATACGTTATTTAATTAATCCAACAAAATCTAATTTCTAAATTTTCTAAAAAATAATTTTCCCCGAGAGCTAAGCTTGTCTCCATGGAGCTCCTGGCGCTGTCCGGGTGAATTCTGTGACATGCGAAGAGCTGTGCGACATTTGCAACTGTTTCAACTCCTGTGTGTAATAAATTAATGTGGGCTTGTGTATTTGTACGCTTACTTCACACTGAGCTGGAGTGATCTGCATAGGATGTTGGACTTAGAAAGGCAGCTCCCTGTCACTCAGAATACAGGCTTCCCCTCCTCCAGAATTTCCAAAAACCATGAAATATTCAATAAACTTTTTAGCAAAAAATCTATTATCTCTAAGGATGATGATTGTGCATTGCAACACTAGTAACATGGGGTCACTTCATGAGTTCCACTGAACTCAAAGTTTAAAATGGATTACTTGTTAAACAGTGTAAGTGTAAGGTTGCGACAGACATTTTCATTGAAATATGATGCATACTGAAATTCTGAAATAATGCTAGTGACTTGTGAAGGGTTTCGGGAGAGTTACGCAAGGGAAGAGGAGGGGGAACTGTCCTTGTGGATACACCTTTCTCTGCACTCCTCAGGTTCAGGCATTTCTAGAGGGAATGGGCAGTACCCTTCTGCAGTCTAAAGAAGTAATAGTGGCTGCCATGTGGCACATAATCCATTTTCTGTTGCTGGGAATTTTCAAGATTGGTTCCTGCAGGACAAAGGTCAGAAATTGTCCTATTCCTAACAGAGGGCTCTAAGAGTACTCATGGAGGGATTCTGCAGCCCCAGCAATCCAGAGTCCTGGTCCAAAGGTCAATAAGCAGGCAGAACTTGGAGAGAATTACTATTTTGACACCACTGAATCACTTCATTTTACATGGGGACTCTGGCATTGTGGCACAGAATGGCAAGGTAAGGGTATTGGCTGATAGCACACCGCAAGAGCAAAAAATATGCCTCTTCTATGACAGTTCCATGACTGACTCCAGGAGTATATCTATTTTCAAGACAACAAAATATATAGCTTTAGGTTACACAGATACATACACTCGTACATACACACATCTTTTTACTTTAAAATGAATCGTGTAACTCAAATACAGTGAAAAGGTACAGATCAAAGACTACAGGGTCTTACACAAAGTAAACTTTGGGATCAATGTTAACAGCTGTGACCCATGGGCAAAATCCAGCCCTCCATGTTTTTGTAAATAAAGTTTTATTGGAACACAGCTAGGCCCTTTCATTTACATAATGCCTGTATCTGCTTTCACGTTTCAATAGCAGAGCTGCATAGTAGAGACAGAGACAGGGTAGCTCACAAAGCCTAAAATATTTATCTGAACCTTTACAGAAAAGCTTGCTGAGGCATGATAGAACAAAAAGAACATCTCCATCATGATCTGAATGAGCTAAAGTAACAGAAAATCATCATCACCAATGTTCTTGAACCAGAACAAGTCCATTAAAATATCTCCAGAGCATATTTGGTTACCCAAATATTCTGCTTAGAACTTGTACAGCCAAAACCAGTTAACAACTGTGTTTGTTAATGAATAAACACATGGTGTTGAAAACCTCTATGGGTAAAATTGTATTTATGTATGTATCTATGTAAAGAATGGATAAGATATGAACTAGCCAGTTTAAGGGTAAGAAAACCTAAAGGAAAATAACTATTTAAAGTACTATTACTAGGAACTATTATTTGGAACTTAGAAATATTTTAGTATATTTTTCTTCATATTTAACAGCATGGAACCATTACTGGGACACAGAGCAAAAACAATATACAACTCCAAGTTTTACCCATGAATTATGTGACAAAAAATTCTGAATATAAAATAGCCAGCATTTCTAGAAAACATTTTTAATTATGCAATTAAAGTGATATAGCAAAATAAGAATGTTTGCATTTATTTCTAAATATTTTAGCCCATGTTGCATCAGAAATCAAGTATTTCTTTGACATTTCTGAGAGTTTAGTTACTAACTACAATTATAGCTCTTGGGATTATACAGTAACACAGTGTTTAAAATATATTATAAACAATTTCTTTTGCTCTGTAATTTCAATGGACTATAAGATTTTTGAAACATGATTCATACTGGAAACCATTTAAAATGGTACAAACTATTCTCACAGAAAACGCCAGTGGAATCACAAAACGTTCTGATGCCTGATAGTGCCCAACGCAATGTCTAGCGTGGGTGGACGCTTCACGCTGTTCACTCATTCTCTCGCTGACTCCTGCGTTCACTATAAGAAATCCAGGGTCTGGGAGAAATTGCATAATAAGAATGGCAGGCACAATCTTTTATCAACATACTTGTAGTTCTGACAAAGACTTTGGCAATGGAGAGTGGAGATGAGATCAGAATTTCAAACTGCTTGGTTAAAATCTACACCACAGAAAAGCAGGGTCAATATTCCACAAAAGGAATACATTCCTTCAGTCCTCAGTTACACATATACATCTGCTCAAAGACAGGGATAAGCTGGTGTCGGAGAGACACCACACAGCATACACCCACCGGAAAGGAAGAACCCTCTAACTGGGGACTAATTTTTCTGCACTGAGCCTTCTTTTTGGTTAGGGCCACGTTCTCTTGGCCTTGACAACTTTATACTGGTTTGAACAAAATGGTGTGATTCTAAAATTGTAAAATAAATACACGTAGAAGTTAGAGGGGTATTCAACCACCTCTTTTTTTTTTTTTTTTTTTTTAATGTACCAACTGATCTACTTTGCATATTTGTGCCAAAGGCACAAAGTAAGGTGTCTACTCTGAGGAGACACCGGGAAAGGAGCGTATCTAGTCCCTTTGCAGAAGGTTGTATATATGTAACAAGTTATTTAACCTGAGTAATAGGTCTACAGAATGCAAAGGACTGTCAAGAACAGAAGAAAGTAAAGACTAGTCTTGGAAACTAAGCAGAATATGGCATAAGGATTGATCTTGGAGGAAATACTTTTAAAAATCCGTAACAAAAATAAAACATGATGCTGGCAAGTCACTTGTAGCCGACTTTAATTTAATTGCCTTTGGTATTCAGAAGGAAAAAATGGAAGCATTATTTTAAGCTCTAGTTGTCTCATCATTACAAAGAAGGTAGGGGGGTGGTGAGGAAGACCCTTCCACTGTCCCTCTCAAATTCTGTGCTTGTTCCAGAACTGGCCAGGCTTGTACATTTGTCTGCTTTCTTTTAAGTTCCAGTCACTTGAGAAATACAACAGAGCACTTAGGAGTGAGGGTTGTGTCTTACTCCTCGAGGAGTTCCCGGGGAGCCCAGAAGGGCCCTTTACTCTGAATTCTTCTAAATAAAGTGAGGGAGGGGTCATTGCCATCTACACAGCTTTTCTGGGTCCTTGCCCACCCAGGTTTTCCACTTGTTTTTGAGAACCAAGTACTTTCTTTCCCTTTCTCTTCTGAAGTTACAGTCATCTACACGTCTCACTTAAAATTTTTATTTTCAAGTAGTAAAAGATAATACAATTTCAAAATACGTGCTAAAATTTAACTCTCTTTAAGACTTAAGTAATGCAACTGGCCACATACTTGTTTTCTATGTATACTAAACAATCTTGGGGTAGTTATCATTATTGAGCATTTGCTGAATGTGAAGATTTTTTGACTATTTGTGAGGTTAAATGATCGCCCTTAGAAAATATTCAATTATATTTATTTATAAATCTTTTTCCAATTTAAATCTACTACATGTCCAAGAAAGGTTAAAAAGAAAAGCAATTAGATAAATAAGGAAGTAAGCCTTCAGAATTCCAAGGTGGGTTTCTTGCACAAACATTGTTTCATGAAATTTGCACAGTAAATATTAGACTAATTATATTACTCCCAACTTTTACTGTCAATGGAAGCTTTTGTATTAAATATAAAGAAGAAAAAGTGTCTTGCACTGTGACAAATTCAAGGGACAGAAAATTTGTAAGCATTAGATATTTATCTTACAACATAGTTCTTGATAAAATTTAAACTCTTCCCCCAAATATAAAGAAATATTAATTTATTTAAAAAGAAATATCACTGCAAAATCTATTGATGGTACGAGAATATCCTTTAGCTATTGTATCCCAAATTCAGTGTAATATGATTAATTGCAGCACACTTTTATCACCAAAAATTATTTTGCAGCTACTTTGATTAACTCTTTGGATTTCTATAAATATTCTTGGAGAAAATAAAAGTTAAATTTATTTTTACATAAAAATATTTTTGAAAAGCTCACTCATCTGATGAGATAATAAAGGATCCCATTTCCCCATTTCAGATAAAGACTACTTAAGGAAGTTTCACTCTATGTATTTTGTTTCTGACTTAATAAGCTGTGGAAGTACTTTGGCTCACCAAGGTAAATTCAGAGCTGATAGTGGATTTTGTCAAGCCATCTAAGTAATGTTGTAAGTTGAGGGATTCTACTAAGTTTATAATGAGGTTAAAATGGTTAAAAGTTACTTGGTAGATTTGCTGGTTTGGAAAAATAATCTCCTACCAACAAAACCAATGCTTTCCCTTAGAACAGGCTTCAAGGGAACAAACTGCGCATTTCCCCCACTTTTTGTCATGCTACCAACACGACATGCACAAAATCCCAAACCCAGGCTCATAAGTAGCGGTTATGACAAACAGTTTCAGTGATTCCATATGGAGACAAAACTTGAAGAATATTCTTTGTAAGATCATGCCCCCAGAGAAAATTAAATTTAACTAAGAAATTTCAATGGAATAGATTGGGATTTGAAATGGTTGCCAGTCTGGTCATCCAATGGGGAACTTGAAAATTCAGGCAGGGGTAGGTACTTCTGTTTCTTTTCCGGGTCTTCTTGCTGCTGATACAGTGACACTGTTCATTTGTTCTTGTTTATTTTAGTTCACTCCATTATTAAAAATGGAGAAAAAAAGGGCTAAACAATGCATACATATTTGATTTGAGAGCTGCTCCACTTTGGGAGGAGACAAGTATAAACTGGTGTCAAAGGCCATCTCTAACTCCTGCTTTGATGCTCCACATTCTTGCCTTTTTCTTAGGAAGTCTAGCCTCCAGATTCCAGGACTCTAAAAACAGTATCGTCATAACCGGCATTTCTCATGTGACCATCTCCTTAAGAATCAAAGCACATGAGGTCTCCGTCCTACACATACTGGAATATGTTTTGGTCAGGTATAAAATGGAATCATTTCAAAGTTGAGATATCTACAAGTTGACAAGTCCATGGGGAATGAGTCATGTTTCACCCTGTCAAGTTGACTTAAGAGGTTCAGGTTTTCAGAAGTCCCCACTCCAGATGAACTTCTACAGTGGTCCATGTAAACAAAACACAGGTGAGAATGGTCTTTCTGAAGCTGCTTTCATCGAACAGCGGGATTTCCTGAAAGTGTGGTGTTGGCTAAATGCAACACGGGCAGAGGGTGAGCCTCTGTATTAAACACCCAGTGATCTAAAGGTAAAAGGTCATCGCCGGAGAACAGCAGATACAAATACCTGAAAATGAAAGGAAGGGAAATTAGCGTCAATTAGAATTCAACAGGAAGATCAAGTGACCCAGCTATAATGGCAGAGGACACCAATAACCTCTTTTGAGCAGCTTTGATGAAAAACCCAAAGGGTGAACTCCAGTCACTCAAATGATCTAAAACACAGTGTGTTCCAGAACAGTGCCTAAAAAGTCAAGCAAGCTGCATGAGACCTCTGACGTAAGACAGTTAGAAAACAAGTTCCACATACCTGTTGGAAGCACATAAAATGACAAGCTGTAAAATGGCCTAAGACAAACAACTTCATAATTTTTCAGACATTCTTTTAAAAATAACATATATCAGTCATATGTTTTGGCAGCTTACATAGTATAATTAGAAATTAACTAATTGACATATGTAAATAAACACTGAAGGAAATAAGTACATTATTTGGACATAGCAAGAACTTTTACACACTCCTACATATTAGCAGTTTTGCAGGTGTTGCAAATTATTAAACAAAGGTTTCAGAAACATGGATTTATAGAAGGTTTAATAATTATTAATCTCTCTACATGGGTAGTAGCACTGTTTATAATAGAAAGGCAAGGATTCCTGGACATCCTTCCCCTCAAACACACACACAGAGAAACACAAGCCAGAGTGGTTACATAGCAGTAAAAAATGATACATTTAACACATACAATGATTGTTAGCTACACTGTTGGGCAAATTCCAATCTGAATTCTCTTGGTTGGGGGGGTCATGAAAATGAGCATAAAAAACTAATTACACAGAGTCAGGAAATCTGGGCTCTAACTCTTAACCTTAGCAACAACTAGCTGGGCCTTACCAGGCTTTACTGAGGAATTCCTTTATAGTATTTTAGCTAAAATTTATTTATTTTAAAAACAGGTACTTTAATATCTTTTCTGTTCGCTGTTACAGATCTGGAGTAAAGATGATGGAGTAAAATCACCCAGCACTGAGGCAAATGGAGACCGCATATCATCTTTGATAAAGCTGGAATCCAGAGCAGCGGGACTTTCAATCTTTCTCCTTGACCCCAGACCTGGAGACCCCACTTGACTGATGTATTCACCCAGTTGCAGGCAGAGACCTTGGAACTGAAAAGTGAGACTTGGTCGGGTCTGCTTACTACACGGAAACTGGAAGCACAAGCTCTTGGTGTTCTGGGCACAAACATGCCCAGGAAAGCTACGTTCTGTGCGAGCCCCTGTCTCTGCATGTCTCTTGGTTAAATGTGGGCTAGTGGATCATCACTTCTTGGAAGAAGAATGAACAAAGGAATAAAGATAGAAAATACAAGAGTTTCCTGAAGAATGATTCCTTTCCATGGAAGATGATAAGGAAGTACTTCATGTAAACATAAGTGTTAGAAAAATCAGTAAGGTAACAAATGTGAAAATTTTAGCTAACAAAAAATGCTATGTTTTAAAAGAATCTTAATGAAATATATAGTGTGCCCCCCCTTCATTTCTACCTAGAGCCCCAAAACATGATCTTATTTAGAAATAGGGTCTCAAGGACCTTGAAGTGAAATCATTCTGGACTTAGGGTGGGCCCTAAATCCAAGGACCTGTATCTTTACAAGAGAAAGGAGGGGGAGATTTGGACCCAGGCACACGCAGGGAAGAAGGCCATGTGAAGACAGAGGCAAAGACTGAAGTTATGCTGCCATGAGCCAAGGGAGACCTTTAGAGGAAACTGATTTCCGGCCTCTGGCCTCCAGAACTGTGAGAGAACACATTTCTGTCAAGCCACGGAGTGTGGGGTAACTTGTTACGGCCGCCAGGAAAAAGAACACAACTTCCATCCCTACCTCTCGGTGCCTCTGGACCTTAAGCACTGCAGCTTGGTCCCAGAGGTTTGGAGCAAGACTGACCCCTTCTGGCAGAGTCGAGCAATGCTGGTGAGCAGGAGTTGCCACTAGACTTAAATAATATACAGTGTACATGTAAAAATTGATTACAAAGTCAATGTTTAAAATTAAAGTAATATAGTTAAATATCTCTTTTTAACTTTGGACTATAAATTCAGAAGAGGATGTCAAGGACATGGTATACTATTACTCATTGAAATTTAAACCTCGAGTTTAAAAATAGAACAACTGGAGAAGCATGATCTTTGCTGTAAAAGTTGAGAAAAGTCTACAATCTAGATAGCTATCAGACAGCTAGGTATTTTTTACTTCTAATGAAGATTTTTTTTTAAACTATAGTTCAAGGTTAGAGATAATACATTACATATGACACTGACGGAAGCCTGTAGGTATAGAAAAAGGTGCTATTAAGTACTTTAGTTTCACTGGATGTCCTGGGTACCTTTTAGAGCTATTTTTAAATACTGTTCACATACATCTCTTTTTTCCTCCTCTTACATAAAGACAAGACACTCAGAGGAGGTGGTGGTGCCGGAAGTCATTGACACAGTAACTGAATAGGGAACTTTTTCAGAAAGAAGCCACCAAATCTGAGAGAAACGTTTAGGTGTCTACAGAGGAAAGATAAGGCTAAAAGAACCAACCACCAGGTGAATGTATTCTCACTTGGTCCTTTATGTTTCTTTATCAAATGAGCCTGGGAGACACGTTATTCTTTTTCACAACTACCAAATGCAGTGGCACTGTATTATAGATAGGCGATGTTACAACTCATAAAAGGCCTGCAGTAAGGACGGCAAGGACCTCATTAGAAGAAAAAGAAAAGATTGTTTGAAAAATAATTTGTTTCAAACTTCCATTTATTTATACTTCTAGTGTTTAAATAATGTCTCTGGAACTGACTGGTTAGAAATCAAATTAAATTGAAGATAACCAGTGGGAATGACATTCTGAAAGATGGTGCATTAAAACATACAATTATTAATCTCTCCAAAAGATCATCCTCCCTCAGCCCCTCCCCACATCTTTTGTCAAATCTTAAACCTGTTTTCGGGGAGCAGGGCGGAAGAGCTGGGGAAGAAAAATTATTGAAAGAAACACAGCCACATCATGGATTCAAATGCAAAATATATGTGCAGTTTTAAAGATAAACTGAAGGTGGCAGACATTTCGGGTCTGCTGCGATGAGTTAGGCTTTCTCCTGAGATACAAAGGAGCACTGCACTGCTAAGGGGAATTCACTTTCCTCTGCCTTTAGGGATCAAATAAGTCAGGATGATTTTGCTCATAGAAACAGGTCACATTTAAACTATACACACAAAAGGGGTTATCTCGTATAACAGCCCAGAGGTAGATGGTAATAGAGGTTAGTTACGTCAGCAGTAAAATATGGTCAGAGCTCCCAGTTTTGTAAAGGTTAGTGATAAAATTATTAAAAATTTCCTGGTGCTTTAAGAAAACTTTTATTTCTCCCTTTGATATGTATGTAAATCTTTTAAAAAGCAAAACAAACCTGTTGTCAGGTTTTAAAATCCAGCAATGTTTTCCTTAAAGGCCAGGGCGCTCTGTCTTTGAAATGTAAACATCAAGGAAGAGAGCACCCCATTCTCCTTGTCACTATGGGAGGGCAGTTTAGGTCCCTTTCTCAAAGCAGTAATTAGAAGTATTAGTTTTCCTTTTGGATAAAGGCAACTAACTAATACAGATGGCCACCCCAATTACCATGTGAATTGAGAATGAATTATGGTATATATAGCAAATGGTGCTCTGGAGAAAGTATTCTTACATGAGGACCAGTGATCGTTTACCTTCAGAATGTGTATACAATGGATTGCATCTAACCTGATTACATGGAAAAGTGAGGTTTCCTTCTGTCTTTACAATGTGCCTGTGATGCAAACTGCTGTCTGGCTTCATGCTTATTCAACAGTAAAAATGTTTGCTTTCTCTGTTACATTTGTGACAAAGATTTTCTCAGTTGGCAGATTTTGTTATTTAATTCTTTCCCCCAGTAATCAGGATCTTTGTAATATTCTTGACTTTGTCCTCAGAATTTTAAGACCCACCCTGCCTTACATCTTCAAACAAAAGGTCCAAAGTGAGAAAGTAAAAGCAGACCTCTCTCAGGTGTGGGTCTATTTTGACGTTCTACTAGGCGTGGAGTGGTATCTCACTGCAGTTCTAATTTGTGCTAATGATGTTGAGCATTTTTTCATGAGCTCATTCATCATCCTTATAATCTTCTTTAGTGAGGCACTTCAACTCTTCTTCCTGGTTTTAAATTGGGTTGCAGGTTATGTTATTGTCTGTGTATGTTCTAGCCACTTTTCATCATTTCATTTCATTTTCTTTAATTCTTTTACAAACATCTTTCAAAGAACAGATGATTTTAAACTTTAGACCAACTGATCAATTCATTTTTTTATGGATTAAGCTTTTGGTGCGATATCTGAAAAAACCTTTTCCTACCATAAGGTCCCCCAAATTTTCTCCTATGTTTTCTACTAAAAGTTGCATTTTTTTTTTTTTTAGGTTTTCAATTTAGATCTATGATCCGCTTTGAGTAGATTTTTGTTTATGCATACAGAAATTCAGTTACTTCAGCATACTGCATGATTCCAATTACATGCAACTCTAGAAGAGGCAACCTATAGTTACAGAAAGCTATGTGTTTATGGGTGGGGTGGAATTCACTGCAAGACTAGGATGGAAAAATTGACGAGGGTGGTAGCTACCCAGTCTTATATATTTGCCAAAAGGCAATAAGCTGTCCACTTATAATACTGCAATAAAGATGACTTTTAAAGTTGAAAAATAAAGACGAATGGAAAAGGATGGGGAAGAATAACATTATTTGTTATTGCTACATAAGAATAATTTGGGTTGTAGCTCCCTCTACTGTAGGAAAAAAACTGACAAAAATATTTCTAAGTACAGAGTTCTGAAATTGGAAAAAATACTTGTATTAAACAGTGCAAGTGAAATTCACTCCGTGTGTGTGTGTGTTCCTGACAGTCTACAATTTGGATTGCACTGTGATCTGTGATAGGTACTAAGAGGGATTTAAGAATGTGGAGACCGTAGTCCTGGCCCTTCGTGCACCATGTGAGGAGACTGGACAA